TCAACATGTGAGTATGTATCATCTCATAAAACCAATTAAGCAAGAGGTTAAACATGTGAGTATGAGTATATATCATCTTGGCATAAGGTTTAGGTTCTGACTATCTTCAGATGTCCTTTAGAAGAGTTGTGGTGTTTACTTCTTCAAAAGATCCAGAGGTTTGCTTCTAAGAAGAAGATTGTGTTGTTAATCCAAAATCAATTTGAAAAGATTTGGATTTGATTCAATAAAAGAATATTTGATTAGATACACCTTGAAGGAAGATTTGGTCCAAGATTTACTCTACAAAGAAGAAGAAATTTATTTTAGATGCTCTAGTGTAACATGTGGAACATGATATTCCAACATGTGTGCAACATCTGGCCCTGACTCAACAGGCCAATGTTATTGCATTTTTAGAGCTAAAATCTAGTTAGATTCAACCAGATTTAATTCTATATTTTAGAAATACGTTTGTGTGATTTGTTTAAATTGATATTTAAATTTGAATTTGAATTAATAACAAATCACATCTTTTGGAGATTTTTGTGAAGCAAATTAAATCCAATAGATTCGGCTATTATGATGGATGAAATTAAATCAGAAGCCCATTGAAAAAAGCCCAGAATTGCATTGCTATTTAAGGAGACTAAAACATCGCGTTTGAGCTGCGAATGTTTTGAAGATTCCTTGTGTTAGGGTTTATCTTTTGAGTCTTTGTTTATGGTATTGTTGTACACGACTCTAGCGCCTTCTTTCATATCTTAAAGAATATAGTTTGGTTAGATAGTTGAGTTGTAAAACTTTGTCCCAAGATACTAAGTCTATAAGCTTGAGAAAAAATTGTTTGTGTACACCACTTTATATTTCAGTAACTTAGCATAGTTGTTGATTTGCCTTAGTTGAGTTTTAAATTCAACAATCGTTATGTTAATGATCAAGTTGACTACTAGGGGTTAGTGATTGAGAGAAAGTGAGAGGGGTTCTCATATTTAGGGGTAGTCCTAAATAGAAATCCACTAGGATTAGGAAGAGACATTGAACAACATGGGATTGTTGTTCCTATAAGACTAATTGTACTAATCCGAAGTAGTAAATTTGCTTTCTTGGGGGTAAAGTGCCCTTCAGATGTAGGTGTAGTTTCACTGAACTAAGTTATCTATCTCTTTTGTTCTTTATTGCTTTTTCGCTTCATCATCTTTTATAAGCTAAATTGACATTACTTAGTAATTTAAACTGGTTTTTATTCTAGTATACAATGTCCCAAACATCATGTCTGACATTTGTCCTTAAAATTTATCATCTGTCATAAACTAGTTGTTTGTTGTCTTAGGCATCTGGTCCAACATATGTCCTCTCAAGAACAGAAATTCTTAGATCATAGATAAAAATGGGGCCTTAGATCATGTTAAGCAATCTTTTTAACACCCAAGTTCAACAAACTTAGAAGATTTTTATTTTGAGATTTCCCGCGCACTCATAGAATTTAAGCTCTGGTGACCTCCATCCTTGAAAGCACCTAAGACTATAATAGGATACACCGCATCACTTCATCTGATGCCTGCTCAATTAGCTTTCTTGCAAATCATCTATATAACTTTGGAGTACCAATTTTCTCCTAGGTTGTTTAATGATGATGATGATGGCAACAATGAGTATTTGTGTTGTTGGATTTGTTTTCATGTTTCTATATGTGTTTTATGTTTATTTCCTTCATTCTTGTTTTGTAATAAATACTTTTTCTTATCTAATATTCAGCTTCTTTTGCACCTAATTACTAGTGTGTGATATATTTGTTCTATGTGTTTTTTATTTATTATATCTCTATATTTTTCCATTTTTTAATAATGACAAAGGAGGAGAAGTATAAACTCATGGAGATTAATGTATAATCTATTTTTCTTTGAGAGGAGTTAGCTATTCCATTTCTTTTCATCTATACTTTTCTAGTTTACCAACTCCATTTTAAATGTCTTGTATCATTGAAACGGGAGAGAATGTGGTGTATGTTGTGCAGATTAGAATTTTATAAACATTTTTATGATGACAATTTAAAATTGAAAAGATAAATCCAGATAATCATTGGTCAAAAATCAAGCTCAAAGAAAAGTATTCAAGTTCCTCTTTGAAGATCAAAAAAGAATCAAATCAATAAATTAAAAGGAATTGAAGATGTGAAAGCTTGCATGTTCATGTGCATAATCTTTTCCACGAATGTTATTTATATATTAAAGAATGACAAGTAGAGAATAATTTGCAATGCTAACTCCTTTATAGATGGAAAAACAACATTCACATATCTAAGAGACAACACTTCTATGCATAAAATTTTAAACTCTTGTAAAATATTCATTGACTTTAGTGTTAGGAGCCAAAAGTATCAAACATAAATAATATAAAAATATGTTGATTATTTGAACACACTTTCTCATGTTCGACCCCTTTTCTAGAAGCATATTTGAGAGTTTTTTTTCCATTGTAAAACCTCTGGTCCTCAATCCCACAAGTGGATCCATATCCACACATGTACGTTTTTCTCTTACCCACACGTACACTAGATCATTTGGTGTCCTAAGTGTCGATCTTGCCTCTTGTAGGTCGGTCAAGAAGTTCACGTGCCCTTCTTTCTTTATATATACTCCTGCACGATTAAATATATCAAAACTAACATCCATACAAAGTCATAATGATATTTGAAGCATGAAAGCTCCTCACAATAAACTGTTTGAGTATCTTGACACGCTTTAAAAGAAACATTACAAACCTCATCAAAAAAAAATATTAAAATCGTGAGGCAGTATCTAAAGACATTGCGGTATTCTATTAGTGACATGTGATACGCAAACCCCTCAATATAAATAGGTAGAAGAAAATCACGAGCATGCGCTGCTTTCAAACACTAAAAAACAATTTTATATAAATAAATAAATAGAAGAAAATCACGAGCATGCGCTGCTTCCAAACACTAAAAAAATAATTTTATGTGGTCGTGTCAAACTTAACTTTCAACAATTTTATGAGAAAAAGGGCACTTACCATAACATATTAGATATTAGGAAAGACAACATCCTTGCTAATAAAACTGTTAAAGTCAAAATTCGGAATCATACTACTAAGATCGTTCAAAGCTCTATCAAAATCAGAGTCCATACCACATATCACATTGTCTCTCAATATATGAATTTGTAGTACATAAGATGGACCCAAAGAATTACAAAAACATATGAGACGGTCTCTACTTTTAGCACAAACCAAATCTCTTAATCCTAATAGGCGAAGAAACATCTCTCAATTAAAAATCCCTAAATAAATGACCTCCACCAACGACAACACTTCAATCACCCCTCGCAACTCATTATCAAACCAAATAGGTGTCTCTTCCATGTGAATCAATTGACACATTCTCAAGCCAAAAAAAATTTGGCAGTATCCACGAAAGATCGAAGTAGCTCTACAAATCTCTTAACTATCAAAGAAGATGCATCAACTCAACAGTTCTAAAAACATTCTTTATGGGCAACCCCTCAATAAAACTTTTTGCAATTGTCATTGATCATATGAATAAGAGGGTGTAACATAATAGTAAGAAGAAGAAACCTTCCAAGAATCACATTGTTTCACTCTATTGACTAACGTAATATATTCGTCTCAAGGAAAAACATTGTTGCTTGGCCATAAAATAAAATAAAAACTCAATCAAAAAAATAAAAAATAAACGTCTCACAGTTACCACAACAATAGTGTCGATCGGTCCATGTTAAGAGCATTCGGTCTATGTTAAGAGCATTCGAAAAGTTTATTATAATGATAGCCAAAGAACCATCTTCAAATCCTTTGTTCAACACTAATATGCAATATTTTTTATATGTTAGTATTTCAAGTAAAATTTGAACTACTAGGCTATTAAAAAAATTGCACTCGTTTCCATCTTCTCATACATATTTCTTTTATTTTTTATTATTTGAGTTTATATATATGCAATATTTTTTATATGTTAGTATTTCAAGTAAAATTTGAACTACTAGGCTATTAAAAAAATTGCACTCGTTTCCATCTTCTCATACATATTTCTTTTATTTTTTATTATTTGAGTTTATATATAAATTTTGTAAAATTGTTTTTAAAAATTATGATTTTTCATAAAATTTTCAATTTAATTAAATTTTTTTATAAAAACTAATGACACATACATTGAACCGGTGCTCTAAACAATTCTCCAGTTACATGAAATATCAAAGGTCTTTAATAAGAGGTCAATTTATTTGAAATAACATTTAAAGATGATTGTTATTGTTTCTATATATAAAATTAGACAAATTAAAAATTAAATAAATAAGTATTCATGTCATTTGGCATTCATAAAAGAACAAATTTTTCAAAATTTTAATTTTAATAAAATGTTTTTCAGTTATAAATCACCACCTGTTTTAATTTTTAACTTATAAAATAAAAGTAATACTAAGAAATAAATATAGAAAATAATTCTTAAAAATTGTATAATAAGTGCCCTAACAAACAAATATAAAAAATAATTCTTAAAAATTGTATAATAAATTTAATATAACTTTATAATTAATGACTTTATTATTTTTTTCATAAATATTTTTATTTATGAATGTTAATTTCATAAATATTTTTATTTATGGATTTTTTAACATGTGTCTCAAAAACCTAAAATAATCATGGAATTCTACCATTTAATTTGAGCATAATTTACCGTGGCACAAAACAAATCAAACTGAGGATTGGATATGTGATTTGAGCCAAGTGAAAAGAACATAGTATATTGACAAAATAAATAACAGAAGCAGTACTAAATAGCTAAAATAATAACTTACATACTAATATTCTCTATAGAAAATAAATAAATAAAACTGAAGCACGATGTACTCAAGGATCATTAGTAGTTAAGCATACTATTTACAATCTTCATAATAACAGAAACAGTTATTCAAGGCTTGGTCATACTACATCAGATTAAAGATTGTTCATTTCATAATGCATGCACGGTTCTATCTTAATTAAGGAGAAGAGAAAGTGTCATCATGTTGGAGCCACTTGTGTTCTTGGGCAGTGTTTGCCTCGGTTTTCAAAGTGCCTAGAAGAGTTTCAAAAGCGCTTTTGGCTTTGTTATAGGACTTGCGTTTCTTGATGCGACGAAGGACAACATGTTTATCAAATGTTTGGGAAAAGGATTTTAACTGGAGCTGGCTTGAGATTCCATCGTTAACTGTCAAAGAGTCCTTACTATTGTCCCCTTTGTCTATGTTGTGGTCATCCATTGTACTTCCCTTCTCCCTCTCTGCAGTCAAAGCTGATTCTGATTCAGATCTCGAAACCGTAAAAGCCATTCTCGTTTTGTTGATAACAAGAATAAGAATATTATTGTTGTTAGTACTATAGTCTATGGTATATAGCTAGCAGCCTAGCACGATGTTATATGGTGGTAGGTAGTGACACAAACAGAGACGGTGTAATAATTAACCTTATTATTTTTATACTACATTTATTGTTGTACTGCTGAGCCAAAAATATAGGTGCAAGGGACAAAGAGCACGTGGCGAATGACGAGACCGAAAAACCAACGGAGAGATTCTGTTGGCTCTGCTAAACTATGTGTTGTCAAGCTTGCACGATGCCACATTTCACTTTTTTCTACGTGGATAGTTTGTTATGCTGAATCAACGTGCATTTCATTTGCTATATTACACTACTATAATACTCAAGCATTTGATTTAATCATATTTAACAATGCATCAGCTTGAAAATAAAAACAGGAAAATCCAAAGCAAGGGAAGGGTCAAAATGTATTATCCTACCAACAACTAGAAAAATCTCCTGTGATATATAGAAAACAGACATATAGGCTAATTCATTTGAACTTGACACTTCAAGTAAGTCACACTGATATTCTGATGCACAAGATGAGTTTGTTTCAGCATGTCACGCCACAGACGGAGACTTCATCCATCACACCCTATTGCTTTTTGCGAACATAGCTTGAATAGTGGCAGTTGTAGGGTTACTTTTCATGACTGTGATCAATGTAACTTAACATAAAGCCACTAACTACTCTCCGCACTATAGGATTGGGAATACTACGACATAATCGGCCGTCAATATATGCCAACAAACCGGACAAGATAAATTTGGCGATCCCCCATTTTTGAATGAAATTCCCTTTCTGCACTTTCTGAATAATAGAGCTTGCAGGCTCATCAGCATGATCACCAACCTCAGGCTGCTTTTCCCGCTTAATACTCAAAACGAACTTGTTAGCCTGCCTTCGCAGTATGCGTATTGCAAAGCTAACAAAAAGATGTTCGCACAATGTCAATAATGTTGGTCCTATTCGCCATTCCTGCAACAAAGAGTTCCTGAATCAATGTGTTCGTACATAACTGGGAAGACTATTTAAGGATTGTACCATTGTTGATTGTATACAGCATGAAGCATACAAATTACCCTTTTCAAAAACAAGTCAAGCACACAATATGGATTAAACTTTAACTGAAATCATGAGTAACATTTTGAAGCACCTCCAAACTAAATAAATGCATTCCAAGACTGCAAAGTATTAGTTTGGGAAGTGTTGATAGTAACTTAGTACATTTTGTATTTAAAATTTGATTTTTTGGTAGGACACTAGACTCCTTGGATAGTACATTTTGTATTTAATATTTGATTTTTGGTAGGACACTAGACTCCTTGGATAGCTGATTTTGTTTTAATATGATTGTAATATTATGGGATTGTATTTGCTTTGCCTCTTGTGTATATAGACTTGTTCTCTTATGAATACAATGACAAATATCCAGGTTCAAGTGGAAGTTCGACCCCAAGATCTTACATATATTAACACATAAAAAGAGACCAGGATGCTTTAAATTAGAAGTAGCGAATCATTCATAATCATGAAATGTAAGAAAAGTGATAAAAGATGACAAGAAAGAAAACATAGATACTAAAAAAGGAAGAAAAAGATGCAATAAAATGATAATAGAGCCATGCTCAATAGAACAGAACATACAGTTTCTCCACGAAGACGGCGTAAAGGATGGGAAATAGTTGAGGGGTCTCCTTTTAGCAATGCCTTACTCATAAGGAACTCCTTAACATGATCGGTAATGTCATTGATAAGAGAAAGATTTGGTGGTAGGTTCTTCAGGATAACCTAAACATCACAACCAGACAGTATATGGATTATTTTCTTAAATAGGAATAGAAATCCATTAAGAAAGCATAGAATTACATAGAAAAAGTATATGTCCTCTACAAGAAAAACTAATCGAAAAATTTGCAAAGAACCTGCAAACCTAAACTCAAGAATAACAATGCAAAACAGGCATCCCAATCTCAATGGAGTTAAGATACAGAAACCCCCTTAACAAGATGTTCTTTGTTAGGGATTCTGTACAAAATAAAAGCAGATAATGAAGTGAAAACATTGTAATACTTTTAGTAATTAAAATTGAAAATAAACAAAATGTAAATTAAACATATCGTTAGCCTTTCCCATTCCCCCAACAGACTAGTCACAATGCCTAACATCCTTTCATCCATTGTTTAATATATATTTCTATGCTTTCCTGTGGTAAGATCGAGCAATTATATCATGCACATGTATGCGAACAACATTCTCAAAACTAGGTTTTCGCTTAAACTTTCATTCCAAAGAATGTGCTATTGCTCTTCCAAGACATGAAAATGTAAATTTCCACATAAATGCCAAGTTTCAAAAAACCTCCTATGCATACTTCACCATCTATATGTACACATAACTTTACTATTACCTGATTGTCGATAACTCTGACTCTAAGATATTCTTGTCTATAAACTGTATCCAGCATGGCTTGGATATATCCTTCAATGTATAACTGCAGCATGCCACACATCCAATTAGTTACGGTGGACCTCATCAGAAATTCAAAAATTAAATGAAAAAAATAAAATAGGTTTTTTTTGTTATACACATGCATACAAATGTGTCACAAACTGAAGTCATTATCGTAATTTAACAAAGGATATTCTAAAATGTGCCTTAGAACTAACTAGTAGACTATTGAATATTCTATTTTAGGAGTAAACCATTAATAAAACTACAACAGACACCACCACATAGTATACTGATAACAATTACTAACCGAAGCTATAATTACAATAAGTTTGACGAAATGTATAAAGATATTTATATTTATTGCATAGTCATAAACAAAAATAATTTCTCTTTTATTTATTTTGTATTGATTGCCTTTAACCTATATAAAAATATGACTTCGCTGTGTTTTCACTGATTCAACAAAGCTAAGATACTCTATCAATTCCTAATAGAGGAAGACGCCAGAAAGTTACGTCTTATAATTTTGGTTCGACCTAACTCATCCCTATAAAACCGCCTTATAAGGTGAGAGTTGCCCAAGCTTGCAACGAAGGCAAACCAAATGTCACAATTAAGTCACTAGCGGCAGATAACAATAGGCAAAATTCCAACACATACCCTCATGCTCGGGCCTCAATAAGCGCGAAGATGAATGAAGCCCAACAACAGATCTAGGATAGGCTTCTTAAAATTCGAGTAACTTGGGCAGCTCTCACCATAGAAGCTGCAAGTTTTATAAACACTGATCATATCTCTAAGTAATGTGGGACTAAATTCATCCCTTCAAACACAACACAAAGTAGGTGTTGGAGGCTGCGGTAAAGGCAAGTCAAATGTCACAATTAGGCGACTAAGGGCGGTCCACAATAAGGCAGAAATTCTAGCACACCCCCTCACGCTCTAGCCTCAATAAGTATGAAGCATGGGCGATGCAGGAAGCCCAACAACTAATCTAGGATAGGCTCTTATACCATCTTAGAATTTGAGTAGGGTCTAACTCATCCCTACAAAACCGACTTGTAAGGTGAGCGATGCCTAAATTTTAACACTACACTTGTCATATCTCTAAGCAAATCTATAAGCAATGTGAGAATAACACCCTCTCAAACTTAACACAATATGAGCGTTGGAGGATGCAATGAAGGGAAGCCAAATGACACAATTAGGCGACTAGGGAAGGACCACAATAAAGGTGGAAATTCCAACACTTTTGTTGTTAGTTTATTCAGTTAATTCATGAACCGACCAACGGAGATTAATTTACAAATTGCGCTTTGAATTGTACAATATTTGAAAGAAACACTTGATAGAGGAATTTTGTTTTAAAGGAATGGGAGTGTGGGTCTTGAAGCATATATTGATGCCGATTATTCAGTCAATTATGGATAGGAGATCAACTACAGGTTATTGCACTTTCCTAGGTGGAAATTTTGTGACTTGCAAGAGTAAAAAACAAAGAATGGTATCAAGATCTAGTGTTGAAGCGGTGTTCAGGACAATGACACAATGGATAGTGAACTACTATTGTCAGCTCAACAACCCTCTACTTTGACTTTGAGCCTTTTCCTCAATCAACCAACCCAAAATGCCTTTTTCCGTCTTGCAACCACAAACCAGCAACAGAAGCTACCCACACTCTGCCGCCACCCACTGCAGTTTTCCTTCTCCTTCACAAAGGGACCCACTGCAGTTCTCCTTCTCCTTCACAAAGGGACCCACTGCAGTTCTCCTCCGCAAAGGGACCGAAAGTATCACAGTTGTGCTCTGCTATGACCAGAGGTCAGCGGCCATTGCCCTCCTCCACCAAGACCCAGGCCTTCCTTGCCACTACCAAGAGTACCCTTCCCTCTTACTCTTAAGTCTCAATCTCTGTTTCATCTTAGCCTAAGTCTCAATCTCTGTCTCATCTTAGCCTATGTTGACCTATTTGTGCAGTAAGCACAACAAACCCAAGCTCTGTCGCTGCTTCTGCCAGCTCGAGTGCTGCTGACTCTTCAAGAACTGCAGTGACTTTTAATTACACCCCTTCTTCAAATAGATTTTTAATTAATATTCTAAAGGTAAGCATATTCAAACTAAACAAAATTATCTAATTCCCTCATTTTTTCACTATTTCTATGCTTAATATGAGCATACATTCCTTACACCCTGAAAATAAGTCTGAAATATTTTTTGTTGATATAGAAAAACAATCAAAAAATACTCTTCCGTAAAAGCATACAATCAAAGGGAGAAAAATACATATATTTTCAACATTTTGTTTATTCATTCTTAAAATACCGTAGATACAACAAGATTATTCAATACCTCATCAACTCCTGGACTCTGATCAAGCAATATCTTTCTATCAGGACCACCTTCCATCAGAGCAGTTCCCAGAACCGATGGCTCCATAGCCAATTTCAGAATGCCTTGGTGAAATCCACTCACCTTGAAAATCAAATTTGTCAAAATAATAATCAATGTAAAAGA